CATTTGCCGTGCTTATTGCATGACTGAGTTATACAACTAGTGCACTGTCCAATTCAAATCATTTTTTTAATTCAGTTATCTCTATATCACATAAGAGCTTTCTAATATTTCTCTTCAGCCTCTTAAGAACTTTCATTTGTATCCACTTTTCTATCTTCTGTCTTTTCCATGGATATGGTCATTCATTAAGCTTCCATAAATCCTTATGGCATTTGTAGATAGATCATCCCTCTCTGATCATTTATAATCAAATTCTCTTACTATGTCAGGGATATAGGATATATGTTCCTTTCACTACATTTACAGCATCCCTCTGAACTAACAAAATACAGTAGTTTAGGGTGGGGAGCATTATGAAAAAAATACCAATTTTGCATTTGAAAACATTTATTCCCTTTTATTAGTCTAAAACATGGGTATATACTAAAATTACCTTAGTAATGGTAGATACTGCTTTGGGTTTTGTTTTTATTTCATTCCATTATTTTTCTTCAGTATAAGCTTTTTTTTTTTCCTTAGAAATTTTATCAATTTTCTTGTGAATAATCATGGTAATAAATGATAAACATCAAGGATAACTGTTACTAAAAGGGCTACAGAGAGCATATACCAGAGATTTGAATAAATCCTGAGCTAAATTCTAAAACCCTGACAATACAGGGAAAAAATATGCATGTATACAACTAGTTCAGTGGAGGAAAAGCAAACATAATGGCAGAAGCAAGAGTAAGAGAGGGAATAAATGAAAGAAAGAAATAATTCTGAAATAGCTGAAAGGTAAGATGTTACTAAAGAAGAAAAAGAGATTTTTTTCCCACTGAATTATCCTGTGAGAGAGCTTGGTCAATTATGAACATAGCACCACATTCTTAAAGAACAGTGTGCATTCCCAGAAGCATTTATCTGTGGCACCATCATTATGGTACTTGACAAAAAAGAAAATGAACAAACAAACCTTGCTCAGATAAAGGCAGTTTGTAGGGAATGAGAAAATGAGATGCAGCACAGGACACCATCATTACAGGAAGAGGAAAACTTGCAAAACGTATTCCAGAAGGTGCGCCTTGGCCTGAGTACCTCTGAAAAGACATTTATGGATGTTCATCTTCAAAGAGAGTTAGGCCCTAGTATATGAATCATAAACCCTGGGGACCAAGAGCCAAATCAACCTAATCATTTGTGACAGACACACATTGAAGTAGGCTTGCAAAAGAAAGGGAGAATAGTTTCTCATCAAAGACCATATTCTTCCTTGACTTTGAGATGACCTATGAGGGCAAACATACATTTTTCTTTTAAAAATCTCCCACTTCTACCTACTTTAGATAATACTTGTTCTTTGGATAAGACCCTGGAGACAGCCCAGAGAAAACGCACATTTGATCATACCACCATCTGCCAATTTAAAAATCACCTTTAGTCAAGGGCTTCAGCTCCAATGCCAGAGTACTTTTTTGGGTGTAATACCTCTGTCTTTTGGAGCCCTCAATATCTTCAGGTTTCTGTGAATTAAAACTTTTGTACCAAGAAATATCACTGATGTACAGAACTGTGTTCAAAATTATTTTTACACTAACTTTTTTATTCTTTTAAATTGTTTAATCTGCAACCTTTAGTTTCTTCTATATTGAGTGTTCATTTTTTTCATTTTTATTTTAATCTTTAACCTCATAAGCATTCATGCCCTTCATATTTTCTCAGTACTTTATACTATTTTTTTTTGTCAATTTATATGCTGAAGGGGATACAAATCTATTTTAAAGGTTTATTCTATTCCTTAATCCTCTCCACTTTTCAGTCTTAAGGATTTTTTTCCCCGCAATATGTTTTTTACCATCACTAAATTCTTCCAAATTGTCTTTTAAGTTTCATTAAGCAAACTTCCTGATTTAAATCCCTGATCTATTTGTTACTAACTGTGTTTCCTTGGACAAGTTACTTAACTTTTCTAATTCTTGGTTTTCTCATTTGAAATGGAACAAAATGTACATATTTCATTTGCTTATTATAAGGAATACATGAGAAATTGCATGTAAAGTCTCTTAGCACATAAGTAAATGGCATAGTATTAATAAATATTTGATGCTAATTTTTTTATTTTTATTTTCAGTTATAGTTGACATTTAGTATTTTATATTAGTTTCAGGTGTACAGCATAGCGGTGATGCTAATTATCATTAATACTGATATAAATAATTTAAGCTCATTTATATTTAACCTGCTTTTTTCTAACCAGGATTTTTCTTTATATTCAAGATTAAGTAACTGCTGTTTTATATTTGCATGATTTAGTTGAGTGAAAAACAGTTTTTCCCTGAACCTTTTGATGAATTTAATTGGACTCCTGAGTCCTATGAAACTACCAGTGAAACATCAATATTATTAAGAATTTGATCTAATTACCATCTGAGCCATAGTTCAGAAGAAAATTTTCTTTCAGTAGCAGCACTGAATTTATTTTGTATATTAAAGATTAACTTTAGGATTTGTCCCATTTTCTAAGAGCAAAGTGCTAGTAGCGATACATGATTATCTTCACTTATGCGTACTTTCCCAATATTTTCCACTGACACACTTTGACTTACAAAGTTTTCTTCAAAAAATATTTATAAAAATATTTATGACATTAAATCTCTAGTAGGAAAATAACATGAAACATTCTCTTAAACTCTATCACTTTGCTTCATGTTTATAAGACTCTTTAGTTATCTTAAAGGGGTAGTGTGGTATAATGGAAAAATAATATTTAGAATCAGAAGACCTGAGTTCAAGCTCAATGTGTAATTTTATATATTACAAGCTCTGGCTCTGCAGTCACAGAAATTTAAGTTTGAATCTTAGAGCCTCGCTTCACTAACATTGGAACTTGGAGTTAGTTAACTTCTCAGTTCTCATTTTTTCTTCACCTCTAAAATGGTGTTTTTATGGGGTTAGAGACAGGCTCAGTTGTTAGATTTGTCTCATTATTTCTATGTCTTTTGCCAAGATATTTAGCTTTGTT